CTGGGTTTTGCATAGTTTCTTATTGCGATATTGACACTTGCAATATGAAATTAACTGTTAATTAACCCCTCACCCTCAAAATCCAAAGACTTGTGTTTCTCATGTGCCAGTTTTAAAGACTATCCCTAATAGATTTTCAACATAGAGGGCACTATACTATTTACCCCATTTCAGACATTAACATTAATAGTAGTGAAAAAGAATATGAATATGGATAAAATATAAGGATAGGTTATGACAATGAGCTAGTGCTTCTTACAAAAAGTAAAAAAGAAATACTTACTAGAAATCATGAATATGATTGATCAGATTTGAGATAGGGAGTCTGGATTTGTATTCATCACTCCTACAGTATTAGGCATTGTTTGAATTAAATGGTTAAAACTGCATCAATAAACTGTCAGACAGAAAAAACGAAACCAGTGTCTACAGCTCATGCTATAAATTTAACATTAAAGTGATTTTATATGATTAAATACTTTTTTGCGAAACTTTTCTCAGTGATTCTAAAAATACAGTTTAATTTTCAATTTGTACACATTTGTCTTTATTTAAACACACTTCAAATAGAGAAAATAAAGTAGGTTTAACTCCACAGAACCTGGTGACATTCGTTGTAGAGACAAGGGTGCACGAACATTGAGCAGATATACTGATTTTCTCTATTTGAAGTTCATGCAGTTTATTTGAAAGTTGATGCAGTTTGGAGTGAAATACCTCCAAGATTAGACTGACGAAATAAAACATTTCAGTTTATATACCCGCTTCTAATACAGTAAACACTGAAAACGAAACCCAAAGAATATCATGTAGTGTTTTATGAGTTGAGATAAATTACAGTTGAAGTTTATGTGATGTTAGTCTTCATTCATGGTGGAGAAACACTACAGACAAGGGTTATGCAAGCGTTAGTAACCCACAAACTCACTGGAATAAAAGAAAATTGATAAAATTATTAGTGTAGGGGAACAAAAAAGTGAGGTGGAACTTTAGTACGGGATAAATAATATTTGATAATGTTGAAGAAACAATGTTAGGTACGTGAAAAGTTTAGAATGAATGTCATGTGATGTGATAAGTAGCATTGAATCAAAATACGACTCAACAACAACAATAATAATAAGATATAAAATTATCAAGATAAAAAATCTATAAAATGCAGCATCAAAATATAAAATTTTCAAATTAAAAAATAATGAAAATCACAGTTTCTATTAAATTATATTTCTGAAGTAAAAGAGCCAAATAACTCTGATTTAAACACAGACTTTTCCCACATTCTGAAATTTCAGTGAAACGAGAGACAGGATCATCATTACTCTTTGAAATATAATCAATTACATAATTGGCCAAAGATCAGTCACTGTCTTTCAACCAATTATTTAGATAGTTAAACAAAAAAAAAAAATGATTGGTCCACTACATGATAGCCACAGTTATGCAGCATATTTATGACACCAAAGGTATACAACCAGGGATAGGATTTCAAATTCAAAATTATGAACATTCCATCTTGATTTCAGTAAAAAAAATACAATTTCAAAATATAATTTATGAGCACCATTATGTCATCTAGCATTGTGTGCATCATACAAGCTACCAAGCCCTTGATTATATGCCTTTGGCATTAACTACCGATATAAATTCTTGCACAATAAGCGCAGTATGCTTTTTTTTCTAAAAAGCAGCATTTATCAAACGTAATTCTGAAATTACAGCAAAAAATCCTCAGGGTGCTTATTTTTTTCGGTATGGAAACCTGTCATAAAAATATAAAAAAAAAGCAAAATATATGACTAAAATTGTGCGATAAAAAAACCTGCTATGTACCATATCACTCAAAAGTAACTTACACATGAATGTGAAAACTGTTGTGTCCTGAGAGGAGGCAAACCACATCATTTTACAAAGATTTATTTAAAAAACAATAATAGTTCCCTCTCACAAGGCACCAATGTCACATTCACATTCAGCTAATCCTGTGTGCTACAGTTATTTTATCACCATGCCAACCAAGCTGAGGTTAAAGTTCAGAGGTAGAAATATATCGATTATGCAACTACCAATATTATTCGTAAGTAGGATAACTTTTTTCATTCTTGTTATTAGTGGAACACACTCTATATATCTTCAAACTGCAAAGTTAGTAGATTTAATAACTGAAAGCATCTTATTTGAACTAGCACTTTGTTGTTTTTAAGTGAAAAATTACAATTAAATGTGTCATTTTTGAAATGAGTTAAGACATTTGCAAGCCCCTATTGTGAAAGTATTAATTTTAAAAGTATGTTTATGATTGGTGGAAAACAATCATGTGACACCTGCAAATGCATTGTGGGTACCAAACTGCAAGTAATGATTGGAGCAAAGCAATCATGTGATACTTGCATTATGGAATGCTTATGCAAATTATTCCATATTGTTTTCAAAAATAAAAGGTTTGAGATGATGAAAAAATCACTTTATAAGAAGCTGCAAATGTTATGTACGGATGTGTATCTAATTTAGAAGCCGCTCTACAGCCATGCAATGATCCTACCATCACCACTACATTTTGTGTCTAGGCTCGCCATGCAGCAACGGGATAGCATTGTCATAATCACCTTGCCCCATTGTTTGGACTCCCAGTTGTGATGGTTTGGGATCGTCTCGTACTGGCTTGTCGTTGCCTGGCTAAGAAAGACTGACCCGTTGCGCTGTTAGCTAACCTCTCTTCTGCAGCTTTCCTGTGTAATTGCATACCCTGTGGAAGAGAGATGCAGGTTGATAAGGTTTTTCTTTCTATTTTTAGTACCAGGTATGTTAGTTGACTTACCAGATTATACCATGCACTGACTGAGTTTCTCTTCCACTTCATTCACAGACTTGGTCTTCTCAGGTCATGCTAGGTTAATAAGGTTCGTCTTTTTATTTGGTATGTTAGTTGACTTATCAAATTATACCATGCACTGACTATGAGTTTCTCTTCCACTTCATTCACAGACTTGGTCTTCTCAGGTCATGCTAGATTAATAAGGTTCATCTTTTTATTTGGTATGTTAGTTGACTTACCAAATTATACCATGCACTGACTATGAGTTTCTCTTCCACTTCTTTAACAGACTTGGTCTTCTCACGGTCATTCTTAAACCAAAAACACATGAAACAGTATTTAAACTAACCTAAGAACACATTTATCATGAAAGGGACAAAGTAACAGAAAAACAATAGTGCAAGGAAATACTAGTGACCCACAAATCCTGATATCCACTCAGTCTGTTATGAACACAGCGCCATCTAGTGGCAGAATCAGAAATTACTTAATATGTTCCAATGCACTAATGTAAATTTAAGGTGTATCTATAGTCGAAACATTAAGGATCAGTCAGTATAGAGGTTAATTGTTAGAAAAAATAGATTATGTAATCTCCATGATTGCAATGAAGAGGGCAATGAAAAACACTGTTTTACAATATTTTATCTACTTTATTTATCTTCGAGCTCCATTGCTGTATCTGAATGATATATGTATCATTCAGATTATTCCTTTTCAACATTTTTTTCCTGAGCTTATTTGAAAAAAACGTACAATGGAATGACATCAAAAGTTGCATATTGATATTAAGGGCTATAGTGAATTGGTGCACCTGACTTTCAGCATTTAAATATTAGGTCAACTGGTCAGCCATCTTGGTTTGAAATTATGCCACAATTATGACCAGAGCACAAGAAAAGAAGTTCAATCATATTCAAAAGCAAAATTTAGACTCGTTCACGTACACATTTTTTTCATACAGCTCAACTCATTGATAAGCAATATCACAGTATCTATGAGTCAATGCAATGTTGGTGGGGTCTCTTATCTTGAAGTGGTTCATGTTAACATGTCTATGCTTGGACTCTAGTTTGGTATAGTATTTTTGTGTGTTATTGGACTTTACTAACTGTACAATATGAGATAGGGAAATGCAAGATCTGTGTTTATACAGATTTTTGTAAGTGCATTATTTTATTTTATTTACCTTGTTTTATTTTATGTTTTTAAGAATCATGTCTGATCCCGTTCAGCATAAATCTAATTTTTGTGCGTGGCCTAGAAGTCAACCTACCTCTAAATGCTCTATAAGTTTCTGTTTTTCTGTAAGTTGATTCTTTAATGCTTGCACTTCAGGGGCTGCACCAGGATTCTGTTTTGGATCAAGTGTCCTTATGACGCTTTTTGCTTTGTCTAAATACTTTTTATACCGATCTTCCATCGCCCTCATATCCTCATCTTTTCTATTCAGCATTTCTTGAAGGGCCTGGATTTCATCATCTGTAATGTTCAAACAATTGTTTTTTTGATTCTCTATACCTATTACTGTCATTTCAGTCGTTCTTTGAACGATTATATTTAACTAAATATTGCTACACTATAGCAAGTTGTTATCAACATTGTCGGTAAATGTACAGCAATTGCTTCCAATGTTGAAGTTGTTTTGCTACAATCAAGTGTATTGATATGTAAAAAATAGTGTTATTGGTGTAACTGAAAATGGCGGAATACTAGTGAACACAAAGTTAAATTTAAAGGCTCTTTGGTTTCTTTGATGTTTTGTGTGTTCTTAGTAGCACATGTGTTTACGTAAATGCCAGAGTAATCTCTATGAGTCATACATTGTAATTAAAGATCCAGTAAACAATACATGTACAAATGTTGGTTCACACATGCTTCCAATAGAGCACATACCATACTTGCACTTTTCCACAAATTTTAATCAATACGCAGCAAGTTTCAATGAGACATATCTTATCTAATACTTTTGGAATTCATTCATTTAAAAAAACTTTCACGCATAAAAGCAAATATCACTTTTCTGAATGTATAGCATTCAATTCAATACCGTTGTATATTTTATTCATGTTTTTCCATTGGTATTTTTATATCACATAAGTTATGTCTGTACTCTTTGTTTATTCACTACTCAAATAGACGAGCTGTTTGGACCTTTTTTTTTGTTGAATATAAATTAAGTTGTGTTGCATTGTGATGCGATGTGATGTGATGCGATGCGATGTGATGCGATGTGATGCGCTGTTGAAATTATCTCCAACCAAATAAACCATTGAAATCCATTCAGCTTACCACTATTAGCAACCTTAGGTTCCAAATCATCAATATATGCATTTTTCTTCATTATGTCAACATCCATTTCTCGAACTTTTTCCCTGTCAAAGTGGAAAAGCAAAGAAATGACACATTAAATAGTTTTTCTGGCATAATAAAAAAAGCATCTTCTCTCGGCTGAGACAGCTCTGCTGTTTTCCAATAGAGAATTAAAGATATCACGAAATTAACAAATCTGGGAGAGGTCCATCTGAGGTAACTATATGTACAATATCAAAGCAATCGGAATTGCGGGTTTCAACAAAAAGTCAAAAATATCACTTTTTACTTAAAATTACAAAAATATTCTTCAAAATTAGCAAATTTGAATATATACACCAAAGCAATCAGACTTTTAGTTTTTAAGAAGAAGTTGATGTAAAAAGGTGATGTGGACGCCGAAAGACAAAGTCACCAGAAGAGCTACAAATTCAGACTAATTTTGGAAAATTTATTGATTTTTGAAAAAAAGTTGTTTATTTTATTAATGATATAGATTGATAGTATTTATTTGTTTTTCATTGGTACATAAGTATATAAATTTATTTGGTGGAGAATATTTATCTTATTCATTCCTGAAAATTAAAATGAGGGAATATTTTTGTAAATTGTTTTTCAGCAGCAAGTTTGAATTATTTCCCCCACAAAATTAGTATGCATACTATTAAATTGATACAATAGGCAAATATAATTCAAATATGATATAATAAATGATTTGTTTTTGAAAACCAACAAATTTCCTAAATTATAGTATGGTCAGGTCTTTACAAATTTGTAGAGATTGAAATAATATCATGATGCTTACATATAATCTTGTAATTTCCTCTTGAGTTCTGTTGTCTGATACAAAGACGAAAAGAAAAATACAAGTATTACATATTTATTACTATAATAATCATAGCCACACATCTAATATGCAACCCATGCGTACTATACACCACATGTAAAATACATTTGTTTAGACGAAAAATGAACTGTTTCAAATTACGCTAATTGAGGCAAACATAATAATTCACTAACAATTTGATACAGCATATTGATACAAAATCAGTATTTTTGACTGAACAAATGTACAAATAAATACACTAGTGTGAAGACAGCGTTCGGTTCGATTCACGTTCAATTCACGGTCGTTTCGCGTTTGATTGACGTACAAATTGAAATATCTATATTTTCCACAAAAAGTTTATATACAGCATATTTTGTGTAGAAAAAATGGGGAACAACCTATTCCTTTTGGAGAAAATCATGGTTATAAATAGTCCTACAGTCTCGCTCACATCGGAAGTCACGTGGGCTCAAACAAGTATAAAATAGCCCTAGAAACAGTCGAGAATCGCATAAATATGTTTAAGAAAACTGAATTATCACCACTCAATTCAAAAAGAAATAAAAGACATTGATGATGTTTTTATTTATAATCATTGTCCTTTGACCTTCTGCGCATTCGCAGACACATCAAGGAACTGTCATGCGCACTACGAAAGTATTTATAACCTTAATTTCCACAGGAAATACTAAATTGATCTCTATTTTCCCCGCTCAAAAATATTGTTAAATTATCTGAAATTGTTATATATCAACATTTGAATGAATTATAGGTATTTCAGTGGACGTTTCAATCGTACGTGAATCGAACGCGAATTGAATGCGAATCGAACTGAACGCTGTCTCCACACTCGTCAAATAATTACAATTCCAAGAAATAATATCAACTTTATTAAACTGTTAATGTGATGTATTTTCAATATATATTCTGGACAATATATTAAAACATACATAACTTACATCACCTTTGCAATAACACAATTAGTGTCCACAACACAGACAGCGAACACAAGACAGATGACAGCCATGTATCCCTCCTATGGTGCAATCAAAGGTACACAACTAGAGCACACGACACAGACAACAAGCACCAGACAGATGACAGACATTGCTTTACAAGGTTATCAAAGAAACACAATTAACTTCAAGAAACTAACTTACTTCACTACTTGATACAACTACTTTATTGCTTGGTGGATGAAGTTTTAATTCTTCTAATTCTGCCTCTAGCTGCATAATTCGTTGATTCGCCGATCTGTCAGGATTAACAGAAAATAAGTTAACTGTAAGTTACAGCATTAAGAGTTTGTAAGCATTCAGTTTCAAGGAACAAAACATAGATGACAATGTACAACACTTTTCACACTAGGGTTCTCGAAATCATCATAGTTTACCAGCATGTTATTAACACAACACCTGCTGTCTTTACAGATAGCTGAAGTGAATGAAAAAACAGGCCATGTGTTACTGAGATCATCAAAGAACACATGTCTGAATCCTGATCTATCCAGCATCTATGATTAAAAAAAGGGATGCCTTGTGGCAATTTTTATCAAATTTTCCCAGAAAATGGGTACCTTCTCAACTCTGAGGTTAGGCCCTGTCTATGGTCTTGCTAGCACATGATGCCAAACTACCTAGGTCAGGGTACAAATTCTTGTCACAAATTCACAAAATAGTCCTGTTTATATAGCCTGCATTTTCCTTCAGAAGATTGAAACAAAAATAGTAAAAACTGAAAATTGACCCAAATTGAATCTGTTAGCTCCAAAATTATGGTTCTTTTCTAGAAACATTGAAGAATATAGGAAAAAAAGTGAAAAGGTGAAAAGGTTAATTATCAGGAATTGTTGAAATGCTAGAGAGGAGGTTAGACTAAAACAAGTGCAGTTTATGTTGCAATGGGAGAATAATATCTGCCAGTAACCTTACCTGTTGTGCAATTCTAATTCTGATTTCCTGACATTAGCATCTTCCAAAAGACTACGTAGTAACTGGGTCTCACCATCAGAACTCTCACCACGTTCTAATTTCAATATTTTATTCTCATGTTGTAATCGAAGTAACTTTTCTCTGGAAAAACAAAAAAGATAACAAAATATCATATTTATGTGATTATGAAAACAGCTGTGTCCTAAGCTTGTATTGCTAACTGAGTTTCATAAGCAAAGTTAACCAAATGTGTTACTGTATTACACAAACTATTTGAATCTAAAACCTAGTGAATATCCATGCAATATCAAATGCATTAACCAAACGAATATTTCACTTTTCAAAAAATGGGATCGCTAACAACACCTTATAATGAATGGTGTGCATATGTACACTATATATATGAAAAACACAGTGAAGTACAGTTAATATAAATTACTTTAATCTTAGCTGGAATTAATTGTGGTGACAAAACAAAGACTTACTTGATATCCGGTGTGACCATGTCTCCTAAAATTGGGGATGTACTGGTGTGTAATGTGTCCGGTGACCTGGGTGGTGACCTTTCTAAGTGTGATACTGTTAGTTCATCGTTGCACTCTTGAAGGGCGTCCCTTTCAGACATGAGTCGCTAAAAAAACACATTAATGAATCATCTTTCAATTAAAACAGCTCACATACTGTGCAAACTATGGGGCAGGAGTCACTGACCATTCAAAGAAAAACAATTCCACCCTAGCATCACACAAACCATACAATTGACTTACTACTTTTTCCCTGCTTAATACTTCTGTTTTTTCTTGTAATCTCTTTTGTTCAAATTCAGCTTTGTCCGCTCGCTGCGTTTCTTCTGTTAACTGTACATGTAACTCATGTAGCTGTCTTTTGTACATGTCGACTTGTGACCTGTATGAACCCGACTTTTTTAATTCCTACAAAGTAGAAAGAACATCATGAACAATATGTGAAAATATACAAGTCTCTCATTCTCAGGTGTCTAGGCTACCAAATAATCCAATAACGATGGCTTCATAAAATAGGGTGTTGCTACTCCATCCTGGTTTATAAGTCAAGCAGGACTCAATAAAAAAGAAACTCACATCTTCAAGATCAATATTGGTTTGCATATAAACAGTGTTCTTTTCTTCTAATAGCTTAAGTTGTCTTTTTAAATCACTCAATTCTTCTAATTTTTTCTTATAAGACTCTATCGTTGCTTCATATTTGCTGACTTTGTCCGAGGTATGCCGGAGTATGTCTAGTTCATCATTCAATGTCCTTGCTTCGTCTGCAAGCGTCGCTAGTTCTTCATTCTGTGAAAGAAAGTCATAAGATACTAAAAATGTGCAAACCGTACCTGACACATTGTATTTATTATACAGCTGAACTGTGAATATATAAACGATGGTGAATGCTGAGCTAAATTTGTTTGAAAATGAATACCATAATGCATGAATGAACTATTAGGAGTAGCATGATACCATAGTTCAAATAACAAGACATGAATTATCAAGTTTAGTAATTGATGGTTGATTGCATTAATAAGGACATACACTTCTGAATGTCAACAGTGCATGTCTATTCTGTAATAATGTCTACAGCACACCATGGTAACAATCATTGCTCAGGTGTACCAAAAATGTTTCTGGTCAGCATTTTTTTCATTTTTTTTGTCTGTCGATGAAATGATTAATCCCGCAAAATTTTTGCGCCCTCAAATATTTTAGAAAAAATCAAAAAACAAGGCCTTACTTATATCAAATCCTCTAGTACTAATTTTTATTTCTTCTTTACAAAATTTGTTAAATCTGACATTATTGCCGAGCTAAGTAGATAAATTATTCATAAATAACTGCTTTAATCTTTATAAAGTGATCAATAATGAATTTAGCGCCGACTCCAGATTAGTGAATGTGAAAGTTTACTAATATTAACAAGCAGCCTGTCGGCTGAGATAGCTCCGCTGTTAGCAATGCACATTGCAATTAAAGAACTGAAGATATCATTAGAAAATGAACAATATGCATAGTATCAATGCAACAGGACTTGCTGTTTTCAACAAGAATTCAAAAATATCATTTTTGACCATAAATGATTGTGGGTTTTAACAAGAAGAAAATATCACTTTTTACCAAAAATGACAAAAATATTCACAAAAATTAGAAAATTAAAGATATCATCATGAAATGAACAAATTTGAGAGTGGTCCACATGTAGTACCTATATATGTAATATCAAAGCAATTGGACTTGTGGTTTTCAACAAGAAGTCGAAAATATTACTTTTTACCAAAAATGACAAAAATTATCACCAAAATTAGAGAATTGAAGATATCATTACAAAATGAACAAATCTGAGAGAGATCTACATGTAGTACCTATATATGTAATATCAAAGCAATTGGACTTGCGTTTTTTAACAAGAATTCGAAAATATCACTTTTTATCAAAAATGACAAAAATATTCACCAAAATTAGAGAATTGAAGATATGATCATGAAATGAACAAATCTGAGAGAGGTCTACCCAAAGTACATATACACCAAGTATCAAAGCATTCAGGCTTGTAGTTTTCAAGAAGAAGTCGATAAAGTAAAACATTGACACGGACGACGGACACCGGACGATGACGGACGACGGACAATCACTCATTTGATAAGCTCCGCTCGACAAAGTCGACAGCGGAGCTAAAAAGTAAAACATTGACACGGACGACGACGGACAATCACTCATATGATAAGCTCTGCTCGACAAAGTCAACAGCGGAGCTAATAAAATACACAGCTTTACATGAACAGACATGACAGATCAGAAAGATCACACAGCTACAGGTGTACAGGCGTACAAACTGCATCTCATTCACATCTTGTGGTTTTGAAATAAAGGACGATGTACTGCCCACTATAGTGTGATGCAAGAACAGGCATGTACGCAATAATGGGCAAGATGCAGTTAACCCTATTACTTGAGTGAACATGACCCATCTGAGGCATAATATTGAGTAGTGCAGAGTCCTTTATCTCAATTATAATACCTCAAAATGTTGAAAAATATGTTCATGTATGCTTGAGAGGAAAAGAAGCGACCGTGTTGTTAGCATGTTAAAAACTCTTACTGTAACATGTAAAACATTCATAAACAAATGACAAGCAAAAATGTGTACAGAGAAAAATCATACCTACCTAGCCAGTCTGATGATACACATGTACTATAATATGTAATTGATATAGCAAGAGATGTTCAATTATTTTTAAAATATAGACATTGTCACTGGTAGGTAGCACATAGTAAAGTACATACACTGACACTCATCTCTCACAACTTGACATAAATAAGGAACCACTGAGAATCCATACATACAAAATGACAGGACAGGACCCCAATACATCACAGAATATTAAAGAAATAATACTCAGCTTAACAGTACCTTCTGTGCAAGTTCTATGATCTCCTTCTCCTGGACTTCGGCTTTTATCCTGAAATCTTCCCTCTGGGCCTCCAAGCGGTAATTTTCCTCCTGTAGTTGCTCAACCTGATTCTGTAACTGCTGATACCTCCTGCCAACAGGGGTACTGCACAGATGATAGAACAGCAGCAATTATGAATGGCTATTCTGCCAAGCAATGAGTACCCCTACTGGGCAGTTCAGGTATCCCAGAGCATTTACAAGTTAATCATGTTATATATAGGAGAAATGAACATGCTGGTTAGTGTAAATAATAACATGCCATATCAGGGTTAGGTAAAGGTAATTTAAATATTACGTAACCCAGCTAATACATTCGCCAGGATTATGTATATATTTCAGCAAAGTTAGGGAGTCATTCCACAGGTTTGTTTACAATTAGCATATTGGTATCATACAACACCTGGTATCACTGTTGTCCGATACTAATAGGCTAATTAGCTCAACCTTCTGGTCAACACATCCCCAGTTTTTTTAAACATATACATAACACCAGCAAGGTACAAATTAATAGAATTTTTTACATATTATTGAATGATGTCAGGAAATACCAGTTAATTTATTTATATAATGTTGCACTGCTTCTTATGGTAAATTATCACACATTCATTTAATAACACATTTTGAGACAGCGCCCTCTGTGTTGAACACTGAAACATGATTTGAACAATCAATACATAAACCAGACAGGAATATACTGTACATAGCATCATATGAACCATCAAACTAACATAACACAAAAGCGTTCTCGATTGGTTCATTTTTAGGTCAAGTGTGAAAGAAGACACTATAGTGGTAAATGTTGTACTGTACTGTGGACAATAAACAACAAGTGCACCACAAAAATAAACATATCTACCAGTAGTACTGTAAAACCATTTATTTTCACTGACATTTAATTTCACTATTTTGATATTTTGAGCATATTCACCGTGTTTTAATTTCACGAATTTGTCAAGGAAACAATGAGTTTTATTGTTACTTTACATGTTCATGTAGATTTAATTTAGCTGATTTTACTTATCAGTGAAAATAGCAAAATTAAAACCCAGTGAATAATTACTGCATTTACAATACTCAATGCAAAATCCACCAGCAATTGCATTCAACACAGTTCTTGTTTAGCGTCACGTATTTTGCATCAAAATGTTAATGTGCATGCTGGCAAATACAATCTCAGCACCATGTGTATGGTGCAGACTGCAAAACATAACTTAACAAAAGGTCTGAAGGTCCAAAAATATGGTGAAAATTTTACAAATTGTGAACAAAAATTTGCACTGAATTTTGGGCGAGAAAAATATTCTTTTCCCTCACCACAGCCCTAAAATTATATACTGTGATAGCAGCAACGATTCACAGTATGTGTGCATACCTTCCTATTAAAGTAAACAAACAACAGAAAAACTGCTTTAATAGGGAAAAGATGTGTTACATATAAGCAGACTTTGATACAGACGCCTACATGTCAGAGCTCCCTGATTTTAGCATGGCTACGAGAATCAAGGTGAGAAAAATCGTATTCAGCAAGCAACGTGCACTTCTGTTGGTGAAGTAGCTCAATTACAGGTAATACGGTACACATGTAACAGGACAACACCTTAAGTTATTGGTTACCTTAGCATGTTATAGTTATAAATATTAATAATAATGAAGTAGGAAATTTATGGTTTAATATAGGTAAGTGATGTAAACACAGAGGCACAGATGTCTACGATACTCTAATTAAAGCCATCACAATGGCAGACTGAAAATCCACAAAGTCAGAGATATCGGTAATCTACATTTTAATAGTATTATCTCATTATGATTTCACAGGATAGACAATAATCACATATGTTGCAATTATCAGCCACAATAACTAATAATTCAATACTTCTAATTAAACAGAAGTGAATAACAGCTACATAAATATTTGTTAATAAATATATCATGACATTGTGAAACACTTTGATCTGTAGATTTTAAAAATTTGAAAATTGAGCCTACTTTCTATTACTAAGTGTTTATCATTGTAAATATTGACTGCCTAGGTTCATTTAAGTCCAGTAATTTTAAAATGATACTCACGTGGGGTCATCCAATCCTTCTCCTTGTTCTATTTTTTCAGATAATCGTTCATTTTCGGCATGTAATTTCTGTTTTTCTTCAGCCAGCGATGCAACCTGTGTGAAGTGGAAAAATGTTAAGAGTTAAAATGAACTGAATGCAGCATTCAGAAAAAGACAAAAATGATACGCTTATATTGAGATGTCCAAGAGTCTAATATTTGGTTGACACAGTTAGGGTATGTTTGGTACTCTGTTACTGTCTTATGTATATTTAAAGTGTTGTACATATCTCATGGAACCATTATGATGCAGTGCAGCCACTGCAGCACCTCAAAATTTCTTGTTTGCATCCATCAATCAACATTACTTGATATTTGACGGAAATATTACGCATTATAAGATCCCTACATTTATAAAAATTACAGGTTGTTTTTAATTTACAGGAATTCTTGAAGAAGCAAGAAGGCAAACTTGTTTATGAAATGCTATAATGGTTTGGTTTTTGATTCAGAATGTCACTAGATTCAATTTATCAAATCATTTATTCAAATTCTGCAATGTGAAAGCACTGTTTGTCTAAAGAGTTGTCAGCAAATTTGTGAGTGAGTTTACTAGGTTGCTGTAATAAAAGATACATCTTGCATCTCAGTAACAATTTCCAAATGTGATCTCAAAACCACCGGCCGGGCGTCAATTCTAAGCTGGCTACCAACTGGCTTTGTCTTTGAGTATCAACGTCATCAATAATTTCAACTTATTCTTTGTAGGAACTGTCTATTTTACTAATATGAGACATAGTTAGGCAGATTACTCTGCATAATTTCAATATGTGGCAGTTTTGAAAGCAAGCTAAGTTCAAATATTATTTTACACTCGACTATGCAGTAGATCACAGTGCTAGTGGCGTAAAGGAACCTGATGGAGACGGACGTACCTGTGTATCAAGTTCATGACATCTTTGTACAATTTCTTCTTTTTCACCTTGTATCCTTTGCACATCCTCCAGAGCTCTTTTTAATTGCTGTTCAATTTCGGCAAAGTCTTCAGCAGCCTGGGACATAGGTTTCTCTTTTGTCATCAATTCCTGTATTGCATTCATCACCACAACCTGTACTGCTTCTTCCATCCCCATAATGATGTTAATGTACTCTGAAGACGATACAAATATAGAACACTTGATAAAATTAAATTAATTAAAAATTCCAGGAGTTCAATGTATATTTTCTGTGGGGGTAACCAAGAAGGGATAGGGGTAGCAATGTTACACTTATAATCTGGATCCTGAAGAGCAGAAATAGATGCCATTTGACTATCTTGAATTTGATTGTCAATTAAATGAATGTGCAACATGATGTATAATGTATATCTAAATTCTGAACATGATTGGTCTGAGAATGTTTGAAGATATAGCTCTGGAATCTAATTTATAAAAACAAAATCTGATCTGATCTGAAAAACAAAAAACAATGCATCAAGGTTCCATGATGCCTAATGTTTGTACCAAGTTTGAACGAAATCTGACCGAGAGGGCGATAGGGGTAGTACAAATGTATGTGTAGCTTACATACATGTACATGTATATGTACGAAGGCTGACCAAGATCTGGTTCTAGAATGGCAAAAATGCTTAATCATGATTGGTCAAGGCATGTAGGAGATAAGCTCTAACACATCTAAAAAGCTAAACAATGTGTATCAAGGTTCTTTAAAATCTAATGTATATACCAAGCATGGCTTCACCCAAGAAAATGTCACTGAGGTCCCGTGATTTTATTAACTTAATCATTGCTTAGATTCATACAATCAGCAAAAATTACATTTCAAAAAACCATGTGCTATGGTTACTACACAATAACGATAGAAAGTACACAACTATTACGTTACCAAGTAATGAATCAACTAGAACCCTATGATCAGTTAAAATCAAAATAAAGCATTTGGACAAATACTGAGGTTATAATTTAAGTTTATCCAGGATGCTTTGATGAGTACATACTTTCCTTATGGTCACAATTGACGGCACATCCCAATGTCAGCTGTAGAAGTCTACCCAACTCTTCTGGATCTTCACGTTCACCAATAGCATTCACATCAGGCATACGATAGTCATATATTTGTTGCCCTAGGATCTGCATTGATAGATTACATGTATGCATGTCAGGGGCACGTTTGACATACAGAGTATCATAGAGGCAAAAGTAATAACCCTGTCAATGCCAAAGTCAACTTTTGTAAGCAACATAAAATCCACAATTTCAATATAACATGAGATATAAATTTTAGAAGGACATTGGATCATGGT